TAAAGCCTGTGTGAAGGACACTTGCTGTTAGCTGCAATACATGCTGGTAGATGCACAGGATGAACCAGGAAAGGAACAGGAGTTCCATGTAGAAGAAATAGTCATCAGTAAGGAGGCTGAGAAGGGCAAGGACCCTCAGGTGGAACACAGTGTGTTTAGAGAACAGTCTGGCTGCAACATCAAATGAACAGGTGGGAGAACAAAGATGAGGATAATGATGATGGCACAGCATGAAAGCTCGCTCCAGGAGCCCGGCAGACTGGCAGTGAGGAGCTTTGGAAGACCTGAGCAGGGCAAGTAATCACGCAGTCGTTTGTACAATGGTTAGCAAAGGGACAACCAAAAAAGGAGAAATGTCAGACAGCTACTAGAATGTTCTACACAAGAAGGAAGGGGTTATCAGATTCAGAAAAATGAAAAGATGATAAAAGGATGCAACCAAAAAGTTATTATCACCCATCAAAAGGAAAATGAGTCTGTAATTAGGTGAGCCTAAGTATGAACTCTTCTCTTTTCCTACAAATAGTCAGGTAGGGCATGACAGGGAATTGCAAGTTAGTGCAAGGAGTGAAACAGCTAGTGTTCCCTGGAGGTCTTCTTTGTAAATCTCTATATCAAGCCATTCCGAGAGCTGTGCTTTATGGTCATCTATTTACAAATGAAAAACAAAACAAAAAACACGTAGGTTCACAGAAGTAAGATGATGTGTCTATGATCGAAGAATAGATAGTAAAGAGAGTGAATAATCCAATATTAATTAGAATAGCACCTACTATTTATCAGGGATTGGGAGAAACTGTGGTGAACACAATCCCTGCCACTGCATTCAAACTTAGATCTGATTCATAAGCTTTTCCCTTCTTTCCTTCTACCACTGCTTTATATCCTTATTTTAAAAGTCCCTGGTCTGAGTCAGTTATCGCATTTGGCGAATCCCACACCACTGCTGGGAACCAATTCCAGAATGTAATAATTATAAGAGTTTCACCAAAAGGTTGGTGAAGCTTGGACGGCTCAACAAGGGTGAGCCACATATATAGTTTACCTGTTGGAAACAGCTAAAAGGCACTTCCCCCAAACCTGAATAGGATTGTTAACTGCCAGACAGCTCAGGGCATTTTATTGCCTCCTGTTGGCCAAACACCTGAACATCTATAGGCTATTCCTGAAACTGACAATCTGTGTAAACCCTTTGATACTTAACCCTTTGAAGTGTATATTTCCACCTTGCTTTGGGATAAATTGTGTTGAATAAAAGCACCAGTCCTTGGTCAAGGGAGAGTCTTTAGCTTTCTTTAGCTAGAAATCCTCTAACTCCCAATGCCTTTCAAAATTATCTTTCGTCTCCAGACTCTTTAATCTTATACATGCAACCCTTTTCTCCAGAATGTTGAACCGTTTGTAAGGCTGGGAAAAGAACCCTGGCACACCACTAATATTAAACCTTATTTTAAAATCATTATTTCTTGGCCAAATACTTTGTTTTCACCCTTCCTTTTAAAATGTTGATGTTCACAAGAAGACATAGTACTTTATGCTCAACTGCTCATTATTCATATTTTAATCAAGAAAAGCTGATGCCAACTCTCAGATCAATGTACAGAAACTGTTTATGTAAAAACTGGGGCCTTCTCCTCACTTTTGCAGCCCCACCTCTCCTGAATCAGAAACATTACTTCAGTTTCAAAATAATCTGCCAGATATCAGTATATAGAGTACAAGAATCTATTTACATCGAAGTACTTAATTAACCTGAACAGATCACACTAGAAGAAACCACTCATGAATAATTTGCATATTTTATATGCAGGATATATTAAGCATTGAAATATACATATATTCTATGACAATTAGAAAACATTTCTTTATTCACTTAAATAAATATTAATTGAGCACTTACTAAGCCTGAAGCAACATTAGAAGGCTTGTGAAATACACAGGACTGCTTCCAGATATTTCAGTGTGGCAGTGCATAAGACACAAGAAAGACAAACATAATGTGAGTTAGGGCAAGTGGTTATTGGGAGACGATCCTCCACAGGTCTCTTGCATTTATGCATGTATTGAGAGACACTGATTGTCCTTTGTTCTGAACTATCTTTTCAAGGATGATTCTATAGCAAGCAGATTTGAATGATAGAGTGGTTTTCCCTTTGGAGCAAAAGGCAGTCTTGCTTACAATCCTGGAAGATACCATTCTCCTGCTATTATCCTGTCCAGTATAATAATGTCTCTCTCTAGAGTAAAGGACAATCATACTTACTACCCATTATTTAAAAAAATTAAATTTTTATGGACTGTACTATTCAGATGGTGACAATTGTTCCAACTTTGTCTCAATTTATTGATCAGAACAATCAATACACAAGTCACTTAAAAATTTTTAATATATTTTATTGATTTTTTTTACAGAGAGGAAGAGAGAGGGATAGAGAGTTAGAAAGATCAATGAGAGAGAATCATCGATCAGCTGCCTCTTGCACACCCCCTACTGGGGATGTGCCCGCAACCAAGGTACATGCCCTTGACGAGAATCGAACCTGGGACCTTTCTGTCCACAGGCCGACACTCTATCCACTGAGCCAAAAACGGTTTCAGCAGTCACTTCATTTTCATCTCACAAACAGGTGATGACATTGAAGGAACTGTGTATGAACCCAGCAGGACATGTGGTTAAGTGGAATAAGTACATGTGGTACTCAAGGAGACAGATGCTCTGGGGTGTGAAAATCAGCTCTTCTCCTTAATGTCTGGCAGTCCTTGGGCAGGTTATTTACACATATTGCACGTTAGCTTCCTTTTCTGCAGAATGGGAACAATAAAGCTTTCTTCATAGGTATTATAACACAGGTATTGTAAAAGAGGCCTAACCTATCAGAGTATCTGGGGCATAATGGTGGAAGAGATGAAGAACTGGGTATAGCAACAAACACTATTAAATGCCAACAAGGAAAATGTTCTCTTGTACTCACATGCATGCTCTGGCTCACATATACACATGCACAAAATCAAACTACATATTTTCCAAAATTAAATTAAAAACCCAATCAGGAGAGACTTCTGAGAGCAGCTAAGCACCAAGACAGTACACAGGAAGACAGGACACTTATTATGTAATGTGCACATGTTATATCTAACAATCCAAAGTACGTTGTTTGAAATGACCTCTAATTAATCTAAACTTTCTGAAAGATTAATGCCCAACAATTTGAGAGTGCATAAGATATATCATTATACTAATGAAACGAAAGGTCACTTTTCAGATATTCTGCTTCATTGCTGCAGTTTATAATTAAATCCCTACTTTTTTATAGATAGACATTTTAAATAATTACCTATTTATCCTTTACATTACTAGGTTTTACCACACTTAAAACACTTTTTGTAAGTGTTTTAAGTGTGTTAATAAGTGGTAAATCATAAGTCTACTTTTATGATTTGGCACCTTTGAAAATTCTCTTTAACTGCTTGATCACAATTGAGTGCAGTTGATATTGTCTCTTAATAAAAAAAAACAAGATTATTGGAAACATACAAATCAAACCAATAAATTGCCCATGTGCCTAAGTTGGTTTCTATATCATTTTTGAGACTTTCATAAGGGAAATTTACCCCAGTGCCTCACTCCCTCACACACACACACACACACACACACACACATATGTATATTCTCATTTATAGATTGTACACTATAATGTTTTGAAATTACCAACCAAAATAGCACTGAAAAAAATAAATATGAATTAAATAATGTATATTTAGAAATTAATATTTAAAAATATTCTGGTTAATGATTATCAAGATTTTTTTCTTATATCCATATTTTAATTTCACTTAGGAACTATGTGACTTATTACTTAACCTCTGAGTTATCTAAAACTAGAGGCAGGGTGCACAAATTCATGCATGGGTGGTGGCCAGCTGATCCCGCCCCCAATTAGAGTGTGTGGGGGTGACTGGGGGTGGGACTGGTCAGGAGGTGGGGCCATGGGCTGTTGGCCAGCTGGCCCCACCCCTGATCGGAGTAGGATGGGTGACTGGGGGCAGGGGTGACTGGGGGGAGGGGCTATGGGCAGTTGGCGGGGCTGTGGGAGGAGCCAATTGGTGGGGCTGGACAGGGGAGGGGCTGTGGGAGTTTGGCAGGCTGGCCCCACCTCCTGGTAGAACTCCCTGTCCAACTCCTGGTCAAAGGGACAATTTGCATATTAGCCTTTTATTATATAGGATTACTTAACTTCTAAGACTCTGTTTCCATATGTAAAAAAATGTCTATTTTTATAGCACTTGTATGTGTTTGTAAAACGGGTTGTCAGGAGGATTAAATGAGATATGCATATAAAATCCTTTTCTACCACCTGAATCACAGGAGTGCCTGAATCACCTGAAGTACTAAACAGATGGCATTCAACTAGCTATAACCTCACTGTACACATTCATCTCCAAAACAATAAGCACGCCACCACATCTTATTCGCCATGAGCACTCAAACTCCAGAGTCCTGCTAAACAAGACAACATGTCTTCTTCAGCCGTTGTGGACACACATGTCAACCAGAAACATCCATGAGGCCAATTGCATTGTTGATCCTGGACCAAATATTGGTAAGCACTAAGACTAGAATATGCATAAAAATCAAATCAGAGGCATTACATATCTTTAGGGGACTTGGTTTATTTTAGCAAATTGTTTTCAGAGTCTCCTTCTGATCCTGAATCTACAAACATCCTAATCCTAGCTCACACCTCCTGTGATGAAGCACTACAATACCACACTTTCTTAGGGCGGTCACATGTTAAATGCCCCTCATCTCAGACACAAAGGAGAGACATCCAGATATCCAGCCGAGGACAGATCCCAATGGGGCCCCACCTCATTCTACCCCAAAACCTACAACTCTGAGAACTATCATCTAGTTGGCTGCTGGTGGTGTGGCCCTTCAGGAAATGTTATCATCCTCTGCTTAGCTGGCATCTGAAGAGAAACAAACAGTCTGGACGTACCCGAAAGTAGTCGCTGCAGGCCGCCAGGACGGCCTTGTGGGCGTGGAACTTCTGCTCCTCCGCAATCAGGGTGACGTCGCAGAGCATGCCGTCGCTCCTTTGCTGGTTCAGTGCTGCCAGGACACTGTCGTTGTGAGATTCCGAGTGGCAGAGCCGCTGGCCCGTCAGCATTTCCTGAATACTGTGAAGGAGAAGCAATCCAGTCAGCGTGTGTCCTCCACCAGCCCTGGCTGCCCCCGTGCCTCATTCCCTCAACACCAACAGGGAACGGGGGCTCCAGCGTACTACTGGAGTGGGGTTTTGGACTCCCCCGCTTTCTTTCTCTCTACCATACTCTTGCTCCCCTTTTCTAGAATTCCCTTACCTCGCTCCCTCAGGGTTCTTTTTCTTTCCTACTCGTGCTTCTCTTTCTGAATCGTGTCCGTGTGTGTGTGTCTACCTGTGTCTGTGCACTGACCCATGCCTGTGGGCCTGTGAGCCTCTGTGTCTAAGCCTCTGTCCTCAGGATGTGCACGTTTCAGTGAAAGGCCATCCAACTGGATGTCTGCAGGTATCCCTGTCCATCCAGGACCCCTCCCGAGCTCTCTGCTTCCTTCTCAGCTTTGCACCAACTCTGTCCTCTGAGGACACACGAGCTCAGGGCGAGGTCACAGCCATGCATTGGTCCAGCACAGAATCCACTGCACCTGCCTGACTCACCAGAGGTCCAGCGCGTCACCAAGCCTCCCCCCCCCCTCCCCCCCAACACACAGTACTCTATTAGTAAATAAAACAGAACGAAGCAAATGCCGGTAAGAAAAAACAGGGCTGCCTGTGACTGTTCCATGCAAAAAGCAATTAATTTAACCACAGCTGCTTATTATTCAACTTGGGAAATTATGAACATCAAAGGAAATGCCATTGTAAGTGAAAAACACTTAAGGCTGAAAGTAAAATATATCTACAATTTCAGCCACCAATGTCTCTATGTGATCACTGAGCTAGATTTATGAATGACTATACAATTTTATTTTCTCTTCTGTTCCTCGAAGTTGCTAAACTTATCCATTGTGAAACTTTCCCCCTTCATTCCCTACTCCATTCTAAAATAGTTTTTCCATATCCTTTCAAAACTCCTGGGTGAAACCTCTGATCTCCCTAAAATAATGTGTAAGTAATGCCATAAGCACAAAACGCAAACGGCATTTGCAGGCAGCTATGAACAATTCCAGCTCAGATGTGTGAAAATCTCCACAGCGCTCTAACTCTCAGAACCGGCACTGGGCTGAGACAGAGAAGTGGCACCAGTCATAAATCACCCCCAGGACAAGAACAAGGGCCATCACTGTTTCAGGTCTGCAGCCTCTTCGTCAAGCTGAGGAAAGATCCCACATGGACGTTTGAGCACTGTCTCTCCTCTCCTGACAACTCCTGGCGGCCCGCCTCTCCCTGAGTGGGAAAGAGCCTCTCAGAGGACTGAGGGAGGAACCGCTGGCTACACTGCATGAGTAATGCATTTGACGGGGCTCTGCCCAGCCCGTGGTGCCAGGTGGCTGGTAGGTTACGATTCAGCACAAATCACACCTGAAATGGAAGCCAGTGCTTCCTGTGAAACTCCCGAGAGCAGCCTGGTAGCTGCACTGGGCATTTCTGACTGGGGAGCCTCCGAAATGTCAGAACCGTTGAAAGAAAGAAAAAAAAACTTGACAGGAGGTGATGATACAGGAAGTTCTCGTCGAAGGTGGGAGGATTATTTTCAGTTGAAATGCAGCAGTGGGTTTTAAAGTGGTTATTGTCATCAAATATTCATCTTCTAGCGGCTGTGGCATTCAGCAGACTTTTTAAATCAGCAATTGAAAACTGCATTCAGAAGCATCAATAACTGTTCAATACAAATTTCTATGCAAAGCCTAAAATGGAGATTAATTAGCATGGCTCAATTAAAGAAATGAAGGAATGCAATAGTAACAGAAATATTGTATCATATAAGTAGAGCTTTAAAATTGTTTTTTTTTAAATCTCTCCTAAATAAAAGAACATTTTGATATATTTTACAAACACAAAGCTCTTACCATGCTTCATGAATTACTCTTAATGACATAATTATTAATTCACTTAACATTCATAACAATTCTATGAGGCAGAGACCATCATTATCAATGTTTTACAGGTAAAGCTGAAAGTCTAAGATCAGGCATTTTGAGAAGCTATCACCAACAACACAATAATGTAAATTCATCCTCCTGCTTACAAAACAAACAAAAAAAGACAAAACAAAAAATGTGATCATCTATAAAAAAGACATCAAGTATCTATGATTGCAAGGAAAGAACATCACAAGGTCTGCAGTAATTTTATATTTATATTATGCATAGCTTAATTGCAAAATCAAAGTTGCTTTTTAAAAATAATATACATGAACATATTCATATAATAAGAAATGTTTGAAATTGTGATTCAAAACATTTATCTTTGCACTGTAAGTTTTAGACTAGAGGATAGATTTTTTTTTATAACCTTAACAATTTTATTTAAAACCCTCATAACTTTTCTCCCTTTTAATATCATCCTAAATGCTTAATGAATGTATCTTGAAATTTCATTTGTAGTGGAACAGAAGAATATATTAAAATAATTGCCTTAAAATGTTTCCTTACTCATTTTCCAAAGATAGTGCCACAATTTGTGTCCTTTTATCAAGACTGAGTCAGTATTTGAATTTCAGATATCAACTGACAGGGAATAAATCTTGCCGGGGAAAGAACAGCTGTAAACTGAAATTTGCCCAAGAATAAAGGACTTAGCTCTGAAACAATGGTGATGCTGCCCAATTTTCCAGGATCATTCAGCTGGGCTGGAAATAGTCAAGCTTAAAGAAAACAACACACTAAATATTTAAGGCAAAAGATTCCAAATATTTTGGAACCAATATGCTAGGAATTCTTCAAAGCAGAAACAAATACTGCAACATTTGGCGAAAAATAAAGGCCTATTAATCAACAAGCCGTCATTGTAGTCTGAAAATAACTTCCCAGTTACTCTCAGATGTAAATCTGCAGAAGACCTCAACCCTCTAAATGTTAAGGCATGGGTGGCCACAGAACACAGCTGGAAGATGGCAGGCCCGTTTGAAGCCAACAATAATAAACGAGGAGGAGGTGCATCAGAGACTATAATGTGCCATGATGATATTAAGGTGGGGAGAGACACATGCTTGCGAACAGCTCCCTTGGCATCTATAACTTATACCAAATTAGCACATTGAACCTCCCCACTCAGAGTCATGTCTTCCCAGCGTGAGGGGGACAAAGAAGAAGGTAGGAAAATCATATTCCTAAAACTTCCTAAAGTACTGGAAAAGACCAAAACCTGAGGCACATTTCCCAAAGATATACAGATTTGAATGTCTTCCTAAAACTGGGAAAGGTCTTCCATGAAAGTAATGCCACCCCTTCCAAATTCACAGGTGAGTGCAGAGGGAGCCCCTAGCACTGGGCTATCCAACACAACCCCCACTGCCTGTGGCTACTGACCCCTGGAGTGAGGGCAGGCCTGGTTGAGATGTGCTGTAAGTGTAAAACACACATCTGATGCCAGACGTAGTGGGGGGGGGGGGGGGGGGGAGCCTGCCAAGTATTTTTGATATGCTGGGTTAAACTATATAGCTAAAGTTCATTTTACCTGTTTCTTTTTGTCTTTTTAAAAAAATGTGCCCCTCTGAAAAATTTAAATTATAAATATGCATTGCACTATGGTTCTTCTGGACAGTGTACAGATTCCTAGGGGGATGTGGCCCCATTTCTTTCCGCTGAGCTCTAGGAGAGCACCAGGCACCCTGGAGCTGCCCACGAGCATGGCTGCTCTTGACCCTCACTGGGCCCAGATGCTGGGTTACAGCAGGGCAAGCCCCAGATGCCCTGAGCAGCAGATTTACTTTTTGGTGATGCCAGGGAGCAACTGTTTGATTGGCCATATGTCAGCAGCCAGGAACAGGGAGGTAAATAAATGATGTCTTGGGGAATAGGGCTATTCATGACTTTGAGTCTTTAACTTTCATTCTGAAATTGATGGCAAAAGCTTTAAAAAAATCACATGCAGAGCATGCTGTTCATGACATGGTCCTTCCAGAAATATCTATTTGTCCTGTGCCAGGTATTGCACTAGGTCCTGGAGATAAAATGGTGAACAAACCAAGCTTGGTAGTGCCCTTGTGGAACATTCAGTTTAGCAAGGCAGTTACATATTAGTCAAATAATTTGGCCTTACTGAAGTACAGCTGGAGCTGACAAGAGAGAGAAGAGGTTTCCAGTGAGGGGAACAGCAAGTCCTAGAATCCCATGGCAGGAGAGAGCATGGCCCTCACACAGAATGTTAATGGCTGGAATTCTGAGGACAAGGCAGGATACGGTACAGGACCTGAGCTCAGCGAGAGGACTTGGCTAGAGGTGTAAATCTGTGACTCCTCCATAGAGAGTATAATAGAAGCACAGCCAGCTGTGTCTCCAGAATACAGCTGACAGGCAATCCACAGTCAAAGGTTGCTGAGAAGATAAGAAAGATAGAATTCAAAACACAGAAACAGGGCTGGGCTCAGCTATGGAAAAGGACTGCCCTCTGGGTGGCAGGAGAGAGGGCATAAGTGGACCAGGACATATGAAAACTCTGGGCATTTTGGACTGGTTGAATCTAAAGATTTAGGGGAACCAATCTCCATAGGACCTGGATAGTTGGGTTTATCTGAGTTGTGATTTTTGTCAGGGAAATGCATTGGAAATGCAGGGAGCCAGAGAAATTAAGGATTTAAAAGAGTGGTAGAATCTCAACCGGATGAGAAAGGGAAATGAGGGGACAAAAAGGTTAAAGGGTAGTAGAAAGTAGAATGGCCAGTAGATGAGACATTGCAATGAGTATAACCATGGTGGATGGAGGCAGCTATGAGCAAGCTAGAAAAAGTGGTCCTGGTAGGAGTAAAGTGTTTGATGTGGTTTCAGAAACAGAGCAACTACTGGAGATTCAAGGTCCGAGGTGTGAGCGCGGGAGAGGGCGGTTTGGTGAAGGGAGAAGGACTTCGGGGATAAGCAGGTTGAAGATCCAAGGCCACGAAGTTGGACAGATTCTCCATGCAAACAGAGAGCACGGGGAAGTTGTAAAGGATTCCCGATGAGGAAGGAGGCTGAAACCAAATGCTAAATGCTCAATGAATGAGGAAAATGGCCCAGACAATAGTGCAGTGGAGGTGAGGGTGAGAGGCGAAGAGCACCACCTTTAGAAGCAAATCTTTGATGTTTTTGCTGTTTTTTCTCTTCAAATAACCAGTGTGAGGAGTAAGGATCTTGAAGCAAAACAATGTCCCAAGGTGACAATAATCTCTCTACTTATCCCTAAAACACACAAACATGAGGAGATAATAATGCCACCACCTTGGAAGGGCTACGAGAGAAGTGATGCCTCAGGAAATGGTGGGTCTCAATGAAGTGAAGAGGCGAACAGAATTTTTCAGGGTGATGGAGATGATAATAGTTCTACGGCACACAGGGGGAGTTTGAAAGGCAGGGAAGGGAGGGCTCTGGGTCTCAGCAGAGAAGGAAAGACCACTGTGGTGATGATAGTGCTGTGGAGGACAGATGGCAATGAGGGTTGATCAGTAAAAACAGAGATGGCAGATTTAAAGAAGAAAATCATTTTCAAAGGAATGCATGTGGATCCTAGTAGACAGAAATAAAGCACTTGGTTGAGGTGGTAGCAGACAGATACCATGATCTTTATTGTCTAGAGGCCAAATCTAGAGCAGGATTTCTCCATGTCAGTGAAATCCATGTTCTGGGTTAGATCTGGTTTTTTTGTTTGTTTGTTTTTGTGGTTTTTTTTTGCTATGGGGGAGAGCATGGGGGAAGGTTATCTTATGCATTTTAAGATATTCAGCATCCCCATCCCTGAGTGACAACCAAAAATGTTGCCAGATATTTGCATAATGTATCCTGAGGGCAAACTCATCCCCCTAGACAGAGAGTCACTGTCCAGAGCAGCAGAGTCCCTTCACCTCACCGTGCCATCAGCAGCAGTGCCTCTGTTTCAGAACACATTTTGGGAACCGGTCATCCCTAATAGCTTCGGGGTTTGTGGAGGAAAGCTGGTCTCATTATTTCATAGACAAATCCAATTCTTAATGTTTTCCCAGGTTTATCACCTTTTTCATTCTTTGATCTGAAGATCCATTCGTTTCCTCAGAGGCTGATGAAGACTTGCCTCCACTGAGACTATTCAAAGGAACACCCTGCATATTCTGACTGACTGCCGGTTTGGGGAACCTGCCAAGCTCCATTCTGCCTGAGGCATTCCCCCTGGTCATCCCATCCTGCAGAACTCTGATCACAGAGCACTTCCTCAGGAAGGCACTTCCTCATCCCAGCAATCCTATACTCCTTCAAAGCACTTCTCAGGGTGGCATTTGCATTATTCCTGGTGTGATTTGACCTTAGAATATACTACATTTTATAAGGGCAGTAACCTCACCTATGATATTCACTGCTGGATACTCTGCACCAAGTAGGGTGCTTGGCTCAATAAATATGTTAAATAAGTAAATTATTAAGAGAAAATGTCATGAGTATTTTGAGAATACGTATCATACTCCCCAGTGACTGCTTTATGATGACAGTCTATATATATATATATATATATATATATATATATATATATATATATATATATCTTTCTGATTTATTGACTTGAGAGAGAAACATTGATTTATTGTTCCACTTATTTATGCATTCATTGGTTTATTCTTTTAAAAAAATACACACACACACACACACACACACACACACACATATATATATAAATATATATATATATAAATATATATATATATTTCTTTATTGATTTCAGAGAGAGAGGGAGAAGGAGAGAGAGATAGAAATATCAATGATGAGAGAGAATCATTGATTGGCTGCCTCCTGCATGCCCCTCACTGGGGATCAAGCCTGCAACCCAGGCATGTGCTCTTGGCCGGAATGGAACCTGGGACCTTTCAGTCCTCAGGCTGAAGCTCTATCCGCTGAGCCAAGCCAGCAAGGGCCATTGGTTCATTCTTGTATGTGTCCAGACTGGAGATCGAACCTGCAACAGTGGCATGTGGGGATGACACTCTAACCAGCTGAGCTGCCTGGCCAGGGCCTGATACTTTTTAAAATCATATATCTTTATAGCAGTATGCCTTTTGTTTGAGGGAGGTTAATAACCTAAATAAGAAAAAGATACAAACGAGTATCAGTCCAAGAATGATGAAACATGTCTAGGTCTGACTAGTAACCAGATCACAGCACTTAGCCCTGTGCTACCAGACGAAATTCATACACACCCTGACGGTCCCGCCTTAATTCCTTCAAATATGTGTTGCACCCCTGCTCTGCACTCGGTCCTGGGATGTGCGGGGTGAAGACTGGGGGGCTGGCTACACCACGCAGGACATGTGCTGCGGGGCTCACCTGAGGCAGTGTTCAGACGGCATTTTCCAGCAGGGTTCTGGGGTCCGCAGGGTCAGCCTTAGAGGTCTGCAGCAGAATTGGCAAGCATTCCAGCTGAACAGAAAGACACGAAAGAAAAGCACAGTGAGCTAAACGCAAAAACGCACCCTTTGGGCCTCCAGATCCCCACAGAGTTTTACAATTGAGACATACATTCCGACTGAATGCTCTTTTAATAAACAATAGTTCAAAAGTTATTAAGTGTTCAAGCTTTTTCACTTTATTGGAACTTCAGGGACTAAGAAGTAAAATGTGTTAGAGAACCCAACAATAGCTAAAATAGGGCTACAGTAAAAATTAAAACAATAGGCAGCCAAAGGGAAAAATTCACATTTGATAAACTAAAACCTACAAAGTTCTAAACCACAAGTACTAGTTGACTCATCCTTTATGCGATTTTACTTTCCTTCCAAACATGAATAATGGGGAAATTAAGATTTTAAAAAAGGATGTCTTTGATAAACGTCTACAGAAATATGATTTTCTGTTCAGGGAGATTTCTGAAAACTAGATTTAAACGATAACATACAGAGAGGATGAAAATGAGTAGAAAATAGAACACAGATTCTCAGAAGAGATTTAGGATTAGCATAGTTGGAAATATATAATAGGATGAAGTTATCAAGCTTAAAATTGCTCCTTGCCTATATATTCATTTAATCTCACCTCAAACCTTTAACCACCCCCTCTTCTCCCCAGCCTGTGCTTTCAATCACTGGTGTAACTCTAAAGAGAAAATTAAATTATTTGAATAGTCTGGCACCTGGTCCATGGCTATGCTTTACAACTCTCATTAGAGGGTCTAGCACCTACTTTCTAATACACTCAAGTGGAAAAATTAATTCCAACCTGGAAAATCTTAAGCTCTTAAGCAGATTCTCTTCTGCCTCAATTATATTTTGAAAAGCAATAACAAGGTAAAAACACTTATAAAACTGATGTGTTAAGCTGTGCCTATTTCTGCTGATTTGTGCAAAGGAGGAAACTATGGCTTCCAACATGACTAAAATTCAGCATTTGTTACAGTGTATACAAACCCTCAATTGGGCATGACTATATAGTAATTCTATAGATATATCATAATTTGCTTAAGTATCCCATTGTTATTGAACATCAGGTTTTTTTCTAATATTATTCACACAGTTATGTTTTTTATTTCTTGCTTTCTTTCTTCAACTATAATTGTAAAAAATAGGTTATCTATACTTTCATTTATTTCAAATTTGTTTTGACAAACCTAAATCACTTTCAACGATTCCATTATGACTGAGTAGGGCAGGGGTTGAGAATAATTCAAGGCACACTGTTTTATGGTCTAAGACACTTTCTTAGTGACCTATCACTGCTACAGTTTCCTTTCAGAATCTAGGTTATCATCTCCAGGCTGTTATTGCCTAATGCAAACACTAACAGGGATGGTCACTTGAACTTTAAAATGGCAAAAGAATATTTATTATTACAGACAGGAAAACAGACTTAACCTTTCTGAAAATCAAATATTTTTAAACTCACCCAGTAACAAGGCAAGTGAAGAACAAGTATCCTAAAAGTTAAAATCATCCAAAATTAAAGGACACATTGAACTTGATATTTTTCAGACACTCCAAAAATTATAATAAAAAATCATAAGATAAATTAAATTCCCTTACTATTTGGAAACCGACTCACTAAATGAGCTATGTTTATACTAGCCCTACCTTTATTTAAAATTTTGATATTGTGCTCATCATTAACTTTGAAATATTACATTAACACATTATTTCTCTCCATCCAAAATTTGTTGGTTGGCTCTGAAATTTTGCACCTCATTCACCTCATCCTCATCTCAGCTCTGTTCTCTGTCATGTAGATTAATAAACTAAGAAAGCAATTCTGCAGGGAAAGAAACAGAAAAAAAAAAAAAAAAGCGGACATACAGAGAAAAGGCTAGAGGCAAGAGATGGAAGGAGAGGACATTCTGGATTTTCCATGCATTCCTGCCTCTGGGGGTACATAAATAACCTAGACCTTTATAATAAATTCCATGTCTTATTTAGGCTAACACAACTGGAGATTAAAATATCCCCAAGAAAATCAAGCAGAGCACAGTCTGAGATTTTGTTTGGGGACAGTGGGGAGCAGGGGAGGGGGGCGGGATTCTGCTGCTTTAAAAACACAGACACATATTCCTATGTGTGGGAAAATGCATTCCAAGAACTTTCCAGAAAAACATAGGTTTAAATAAGTAATGTACACAATTTTGTGACACTTAATGCTATTTCCTCAGCATCCTTTAAATGACCAAGCTACTGAAGACACCGTTTAACTGCTTTCCACACAAATTCATTATATGAGAAGGCAAATGCTGTCTATGCCTGTGGCCTAGTGGTCAAGCAATGAACGTATAAAATACTATGTTGGTGGACAGAGAATTTACTGACTTCACTAAACATAATTAAAAGGCAAGGCATCGATTTATAAAAATAGGAAAACATATGTTTAGATTTTAAGTATCTTTGAATCAGCTTTCAAGCTTAGCCTAATGCTCTTGGGAAAGGAGAAGGGGATTTCCCTCTGCAGCTTAATTACTATGTGAGAACAAGGCAGGTACAGTGCTGTCTGTTTATCAGTGTAGAGCTGGGTGCTAAACAGTGGAACCAACAAAACATGTACTGTCCCCCAAAGACCAGTGCCACAGATTTCCGTCTTTGTGGTTACAAATACAACCAAATAAGCTTAGCTTGCAAACACAAGTAAAGCAAAAACTTTACAAAATGGAGCCATGGTCACACATCAACGTGCAGTCATGACAGCGGGCCCACCCCACGCCTCCCACTTCAGTGTCTCTCCTTTTATTCACAAGCCCGAATCACACGTAGTGACTTGCTCAGGGGACAAGTATGTAGGTGAGTTTTTACTTTTGTTTCACTGTTTGCTAATGTAGTTCGTGTGCTAAGTACTGTTCTTTTTTTTTTCCATGCCAAAACTATGGATGGCGGCCATCCTCCCCGGACTGTTCCCACGGCCTCAGCAGCGTGGGATGCTCCAGGCCCCGCTTCAAGCTCTCCAGCGGAAGCCTGCACTCATTAGGGGACACACAGCAAGCGTTTCTCAAAGCTATAGTAGTTCTTGCACATAGGTGATGTTACTCCCTGGTATAGCTCTTAGAAAATGTTCATGATTGCAATCCCCTCTCTTACTGGGGAGCTGCTTCTCCCATATCTGTTTGGTACATGGGATGGATGCGGTTTCTTTAATCTTCATAGCTTTTATTTTTATTAAAATGCTTCAAGGTTGCCAGGTCTTCACTTAGAATGAAATTTTTTGGACATTGAAAATAGTACTTTCAGAAGAAAAATATCTTATTAAACCATAACAATGTGAAAAGGAACAAATAAAGTAAATGTCTAACAGGTCTGACTTGATTAAGTACAAAGAAAGACCATGGCTACTAAGTGACTAATGGGCGGGCAGCATATTCAGTATGGATAAGCTGGACAAAGGGATAATTCACAGGACAGAGAGGATGGTGTGAAATACTATCACACTACTCAGAATAACAGACAACTTGAAACTTATGAATTATTTAGTTCTAGAATTTATCATTTGATATGTTCAACAACAGTTGACAATGGAAAGTGAACCTGCAGATAAGAGAGGACTACCATGTCTAAAACTAAAAATACGCATTACACGAAAATTATATAAGAAATATAGTCAAAGAATGCTTAACAATATAAGACACAAATATATATGTAATGATATACAAAGTATTTAATAATCATATGAGAGAGAGAAAAAATATCAAAAGGCAAAAGGCAAAATATCTTTTTGTAGATGGATCTGATCAGAGGTTGCCTGAACACACCAACAACCACTGTCCATTGGCCTGGTATGATAATCCAAAATGAACAAATATTTGTAATAGGGAGAGAGCAAACTCCTTTTAAATTATGAAACACATTAAACCATCAATTGTTTTGAAGAAGATGGTAAGTAACCATATTTCTTACAGTTAAGAAAGGAGAGCCAATGCCCATGAAATTTAGGAAAGCTCATGCAGCAGAGCTTCAAGGTCTTCTATTCTATTTAACACTTCACATGTCTGAAAGCATCAAGTGAAATGCTTCATACACAGTGGTGCTCCATAAACATTCATCTGACTCCCCTTCCCTGTCTCCCACATGGAAATATAGAGGCCACTCTCTACAGAAGTGTAGATAGGAGCATGGCTGGGATAGAAACTGAGCATATCAAATGCCACAGCCAGCCCCAGGTAGCACCTGTTCAGATGAAGTTAACAGGGCTCAAGAAATTGTTTCGCATTTCATTAGAAAACAATTATCAAAATGGAGCAAGTGTAACTTATCAGCCACACAATTTTTTTTAAAAATCCAATAGTTTGTACAACTGGAAGTAGTTGTCAAAAGAACAAGTGTTAGAAGACAAGTAATTAATATTGTTTATATGTAAAGTACGCACATATCAATAAGAAAAAGGTTGATCACTCCATAGGAAATAATGGACAAAGAGTATAAACAGGCAAATAATCAAAGAAGAGATATAAAGGAACTGGAAACACATTAAAATGTTCCCTCTGGTTAGGAATAAAAATGCAAATGAGTCATCAAGATACCATTTCCTTCCAAGCACATTGGAGAAGAAGAATGGCGGCCAATGGTAGCAAGGAAAATGACGTTCTTATGCATGCAGCTGGGTATCTAAATTGGCACAGGCGTTCTGGAGGGCAATTTATAAATACATATCAAAGGCCTTAGAATGGGAAAATCCTTTGATCTATAAATTCCACAAGTAAAACCCACCCAATAAAACAAATCAGGCAAGTGTGCAAAGGTATGTATGTACAAGAAGATCCACTGGAGTGTTGTTTATACAAGCAAAAAGTACAAGCAATCATGTTAGGAGATGAGTTAAATGCTGTATTTCCTTCAATGGAGAACCAAAGAGTAATTTAAAATGGTTATGTCCTATATAATAAAACCCTAATATGCAAATTGACTGAATAGTGGAACGACTGGTTGCTATGATGTGCACTGACCACCAAGGAGCAGACA